ATACAAATAGAAATATCCGTCTGACAACACCGAGAGAACACGCTAAACCTGTGTGTGTCTGTGTGAGAGAAGACCAATGTGACACGCGCTTCTCTATTGTGTCTGTGAGGAGCGCGAGCTAAAAACATCCTCCGTCCACACACACACACACACACACACACACAATAATCTCTTCAATGTCAGCATCTTTAGATCTGGACTGACACTCAAAATAGCGCTTTATGTGAATCAGATTCAGAAGCGATTAATTATTTTGTCATGCATATCGCGAATATGTTGGTCCATTTACCCTGTAAAGTTAACAGAAACTCCAGCATTTTGCAACGCACCGCAGACATGATTTCATTGAAAAAGCATGTTGTTTAACTAGATGTATCACTTAAATTGTGATTTGCGGTATTGTGCATTGAATTAATCTCACGCCTCGCGGTTTTCTGTGTGAACTGACCGGCGTGAGTGTGTGAGTGTGTGTGTGTGTGTGTGTGTGTGATGAATGTCACCAGGAGCGGTTTTCCCTCAGGCATGCGCGCTTCTCTTTAAAGCTTCACTCGTGTTTCAGGAGAACGCGTGTGATTTATGAGGGAACAACAGACCTCGCTGTCTGTCACTGACAGGACATTGTGTGCTCGGGCATGACGCACGTGACCAGCTTTTGTTTTGATAATAAGCATTGGCCAAATAGTTATGTACTCTGTTTTGTTTTTGCTTTAAGTTATATTCTCCAGAACAAACTCACAATCAGATATGAAATGCACACTTTAAAGAAGCTTGAAACCGAAGTCACGCTAGTCTTTTCTTCCCTATTGTGAGAAATCGAGTCTCCCCGGGAATCGGGTTTCTTTTATGACCCCGATCCGATTGGTTCAAGGAACGAACATTATGATCTATATCGTTTAATATGCATTGTAATGACCACGTCTTTTAAATTACATGGTCCATAATACTAGCATATAACCTGAAGCTATAAGGTTGTGAAATCAAGAATTTCTCGTTACTGTTTTTTTCGTTACCCTAGCTTAGCATACATTTACTCAATTAGCCTGCTAACTTCTTTTTTTACTAGTTTCCAATTACATATTTCAAATTAATGATGTTTGTGTGTACTTAGCATGACAATTAATTTATTAAAAATGTATTATATAGGCTACTATACCACCACATTGCAATTATTGTGTAAAATTATTATTAAATTACTTTTACATAACAACATATGTTGCAACAATCCTTATCCTTATAAAAAATACATTGTTAGGCATGGTTGTGTTTCCAGTTTGTTTTATTATGCAATACATAGGCATTAATTTTTCTATTCAAGCATGTTGTTTGTGCACTTAATGTAATGAACATCATACAATAGTTTAATATGTTATAATTTGGCAAGACATTGCAATAACAACTTTTGATCAGGCATTACCGCCTGGGTCCTAAAGGAGACCCAATTCCTGGGGGCTCGATTTCTTATCCGTATATCCAAGTGAAACGCTTGGCTTCAGGAACAAGAACAAATGTGGGCGGGGCTTGATTTTGTCTGGGGAATTGATTGGATGGTTGTGGTTTGCTATTGGCTGATCTCATGTGAGTGACAGGTTGCTCCGCCCACATCATCAGAGAAGAGAAGAGAAGCTGCAAGAGGAAGTTATTCTGATTCAAGATTATTAACAGAATATGCACTGATAAATCATTTAGATTAAACTGCATTATTCCATTAAAAAACAAGAATTGTCCATTTTTGATTTCATGGTGAAATGATGCACCAGAATTCTTGGTTGTTGAAAAAAAAATTTCCTTGGAAATACAGTATAAATCTCACACTCTCGAGTTTGCATAATGAGCAAAGTTTCAGTCAATCGAAATACTTAAAGGTGCTGTATGTAAGTTTTTCACTCTACTAAAGCATACAAATACCATAATCTGTTCGCATATATTGAGGAAACATGCTGAGTTCACACACTCTGTCTGTTGTTGTTTTGGTCTGTGTGACTCCGCCCACTACCAGTTCACCCAATAGTATTTGGACACCCTGGGTTGCCAGTTAGCAGGAAACACCGCGTATTGCAGCCAGCGAAACAAACTGGGTCAGAGATCGCAGATCCTACTCGACCTAAAAAGCCTCGGGATCCATCTAAAAACCTCAATGAAAATGTTTCATTCCTCAAACTGGCGGCCCGCGTGAGCGTCGAGTCTGAGGAGGCGGGGAAACGACGATCTCTGATATTTTGAATTTGGACTGCAGTACCGATCTCCACCACTAGCTGTCATTCTTACACACTGCACCTTTAAGTATGACTCTCAATAAATGAAAGAAAGCATGCATGTGTAATAATAAATGATAGATGATGATCCTCTGGTCTCTCAGACGTTCACCGCCTGGTGTAACTCTCACCTTCGGAAAGCGGGAACTCAGATCGAGAACATCGAGGAGGATTTCAGGAACGGACTGAAGCTGATGTTACTGTTGGAGGTCATCTCAGGTACAGTTCAGTCTGCAGGTCTCTCTCTCTCTCTCTCTCTCTCTCTCTCTCTCTCTCTCTCTCTCTCTCTCTCTCTCTCTCTCTCTCTCTCTCTCTCTCTCTCTCTCTCTCTCACTCTCTCTCTCTCTTTTCTTCCAGGTGAAAGGCTTCCCAAACCAGACCGGGGAAAGATGCGCTTCCACAAGATAGCCAATGTGAACAAGGCTCTGGAGTACATCACCAGTAAAGGGGTGAAACTGGTGTCCATCGGCGCTGAGGGTGAGAGAAGCTCCTGGTTATCATCACATACAGTCAAACCAAAAATTATTCAGACACCAGATATCATTTTTTATATATTTTTTACTAGTGGGTGCAGGACACTATAGTTATGTACACTGAACAAAATTGTAAACGCAACACTTTTGTTTTTGGCCCATTTTTCATGAGCTGAACTCAAAGATCTAAGACTTTTTCTATTGACACAAAAGGCCTATTTTTTTCAAATATTGTTCACAAATCTGTGTAAATCTGTGTTAGTGAGCACTTCTCCTTCACCGAGATAATCCATCCACCTCACAGGTGTGGCATATCAAGATGCTGATTAGACAGCATGATTATTGCACAGGTGTGCCTTAGGCTGGCCATAATAAAAGGCCACTCTAAAATGTGGCCTTTTATTTTTATACAATTATACAAAATTAAGCATTGCTTGGTAATTGGTTGAGCTAAACTGGTATTATTTAATTGTGTAGTTAAATTTAACAGCTGACAGATTTACAACATAATTCATCTGTACATAACATAACTCTGAGTTCTTGTCATATTTTATTACCATTTTCTAAACTATAGCGAATAAACTGTGATAATGTGAGAAATGTTGAAGGTGTTCTGGTTTGACTGTAGATCTGAACTACAATCTTACATAGTTGTAGTTCATCATGAATGCTTTGATTGGTCTCTATAAGAAGATTAAGACATATTCAGACACTCAGCAGATTATTGCAGAAGCACTTTAAAGGGGTCATATAATGGTACATGCACTTTTACAAGTTGATTGTACTGAAATGTGTGTTGGCAGTGCCTGTACACAGCCATCATATAATGATAAAAATCCATCCAGTGGTTTTGTTTTAATCTCCTTATATGTTTTCCCCTGCCTCAAATCGAGCCGTTCGAGCCTGTGACGTCACACGCTCGGAAGCCCCTCCCACGATTGTTGATTGACAGCAGCGTTTCAACACAGACCCGCCCTCGCTCGTGAATCATAGTCTGCGCGGACCGGCGCGGTCATTGTTGATATGCTGGAGCACTGTCTATGAGCAGAATGGCTCTAAGCGATTGTGGTGTTCTGTTCTTGGGTGCAATAACGAACACAGTCATTTTAATGTTCCTAAATCCGAACCGCTGAAGACGCAGTGGCTGAGTTTGTTTTCGAAGGGAATATTCCCCACGAGCAACGTCAATGCTTTCATGTTTGCGCGAATCATTTCACACACCAGACTGCTTTATAGACGAGGAGGTATAAAGCTGGTTTTGCTAAGAAGCTGCTCCTGAAAGGGTCGGTACCAGCTATTCGTGTTCCTGCAGCTGCTCCAGAAGAACGGAAGTGAGTGTAACGTGTTATTAAACTTTATATTAATATTTATATTAATCCTTGTAAATCGCTAGCTGCACGCTTCACAATGAATGCGTCTAAGGTTTACACTCAGGGTACATTACGGCATGTTTTCTATGTATGACGTTCTCAATATAATGCATAATCCCACGTTTATACTGAACAACGTGTTATGGTTATTGTGTTACAAACGGTGTACGCCAGAGCCGGCTCTGGTGTACGCACAGAACAGAGAGGCGGAGTCAGCAAAGCTCATGATCATTTAAAGTCATATGCACTGAAACGGCGTGCTGAAAACAGAGCTGATTTTGACCAGGTAAAATAAGTGTTTTCTTACAATACTAATGAGAATTTTTAATTAAAGTATATTACAAACTTTTAATTTAGACCCTAAAGAATCATATTAGCTTGTACAAAAATGGCATTATATGACCCCTTTAACAAAATGAGAGTGTAAAAGAGTTCTAGAAGCTTAATTTTACAGTTATTTGCATGCGCGAGGTCAAACTCAAGTGCGTCGTCTGTTGGATCCTCAGAGATTGTTGATGGAAATGTGAAGATGACTCTGGGAATGATCTGGACCATCATCCTCCGCTTCGCCATCCAGGACATCTCAGTGGAGGGTATCTGTCTCACACACACACACACACACACACACACACACACACACACACACTCTTACAGACTCTCCTTCTCTGTCAGAAACCTCAGCTAAAGAAGGGCTCCTGCTGTGGTGTCAGAGGAAAACGGCCCCTACACACACACACACACACACACACACACACACACACACACTCTCTCTCTAATACACACACACACACACACACTCTTACAGACTCTTCTTCTCTGTCAGAAACCTCAGCTAAAGAAGGGCTCCTGCTGTGGTGTCAGAGGAAAACGGCCCCTACACACACACACACACACACACACTCTCTCTCTAATACACACACACACACACACACACACACTCTCTTACAGACTCTTCTTCTCTGTCAGAAACCTCAGCTAAAGAAGGGCTCCTGCTGTGGTGTCAGAGGAAAATGGCCCCTACACACACACACACACACTCTCTCTCTAATACACACACACACACACTCTTACAGACTCTTCTTCTCTGTCAGAAACCTCAGCTAAAGAAGGGCTCCTGCTGTGGTGTCAGAGGAAAACGGCCCCCTACAGGAACGTCAATATACAAAACTTCCATATCAAGTAAGAACATGCAGAAAGAAGACAAATATATGGTTTATTTTCTTACATGCCACAGACGTGTCTTCCTTATGCACTCATGAAATGATTAGAAACAGATATGTTGAGTTGTGTCGAGATGTGTCTCAGCCTCGGTCCTGCTAACGTCTGCTATCTCCACTCTCAGCTGGAAGGACGGTCTGGCGTTCTGTGCGCTCATTCACAGACACAGGCCTGACCTGATCGACTACTCCAAACTCAACAAGGTCTCTGTCCCCCAGTGCATGCTGGGCATGCGGGTGTTATTAACTAACAGATACACTGTAACGAGTCCAGCAGACACATTTACTTAAGCAATCCAGGCAAACAGAACATGGGAAACACTGGGGTTTAAATACAGTACACAGGGAAACACAGGCTGGAACGCAGGACGGGAACGTGATTAGTTGCTACGTTAAGCTGATTAATGGAAACAAGACAAACACCGGAAGTAAAACTCAGTTACTTTTGTCGTTTATTTACTCAGTGTAACAGGGTTCAGATGTTATGGGAAGAAGGAGGATGGAACCGGCGAACATTCAACAGTTTAATAATAAAATAAACAAATACAAAATGAAAGTTAAACCAGCAGCCCCTCGCGGACGACTGCTGGCCACAGAAAAAAAACAACATAAAATCAGGCCTGTTCCTCTCTCCATCTGCACTGTCGTCGCTCCTCCTTTATGCTTCCGCTCCTCCGTGAGAGATGCGAGACCGGTGCGTCTCACAGGTGTCGCTCATTACCACTCACGCCACCGGCCTCGTCCTGCTCGCCACACTCAGGCTTTACTCAGGCTTTACTCAGGCTTTACTCAGGCTTTACTCAGGCTTTACTCGAGCTTTACTCAGGCTTTACTCAGGCTTTACTCTGGCTTTACTCAGGCTTTACTCAGGCTTTACTCAAGCTTTACTCAGGCTTTACTCAGGCTTTACTCAGGCTTTACTCTGGCTTTACACAGGCTTTACTCAGGCTTTACTCAGGCTTTACTCAGGCTTTACTCAGGCTTTACTCTGGCTTTACTCAGGCTTTACTCTGGCTTTACTCTGGCTTTACTCAGGCTTTACTCAGGCTTTACTCAGGCTTTACTCGAGCTTTACTCAGGCTTTACTCAGGCTTTACTCTGGCTTTACTCAGGCTTTACTCAGGCTTTACTCAAGCTTTACTCAGGCTTTACTCAGGCTTTACTCAGGCTTTACTCTGGCTTTACTCAGGCTTTACTCAGGCTTTACTCAGGCTTTACTCAGGCTTTACTCAGGCTTTACTCAGGCTTTACTCGAGCTTTACTCTGGCTTTACTCAGGCTTTACTCGAGCTTTACTCTGGCTTTACTCAGGCTTTACTCGAGCTTTACTCAAGCTTTACTCTGGCTTTACTCAAGCTTTACTCAGGCTTTACTCGAGCTTTACTCAGGCTTTACTCAGGCTTTACTCGAGCTTTACTCGAGCTTTACTCAAGCTTTACTCAGGCTTTACTCGAGCTTTACTCTGGCTTTACTCAGGCTTTACTCGAGCTTTACTCAGGCTTTACTCGGGCTTTACTCGAGCTGTACTCAGGCTTTACTCAGGCTTTACTCAGGCTTTACTCGAGCTTTACTCAAACTTTACTCAGGCTTTACTCAGGCTTTACTCAAGCTTTACTCAAGCTTTACTCAGGCTTTACTCGAGCTTTCTCAGGCTTTACTCAAGCTTTACTCGAGCTTTCTCAGGCTTTACTCAGGCTTTACTCAGGCTTTACTCAGGCTTTACTCAGGCTTTACTCGAGCTTTCTCAGGCTTTACTCAGGCTTTACACGAGCTTTACTCAGGCTTTACTCAGGCTTTACTCAGGCTTTACTCAGGCTTTACTCGAGCTTTCTCAGGCTTTACTCAGGCTTTACACGAGCTTTACTCAGGCTTTACTCAGGCTTTACTCGAGCTTTCTCAGGCTTTACTCAGGCTTTACTCAAGCTTTACTCGAGCTTTCTCAGGCTTTACTCAAGCTTTACTCAGGCTTTACTCAGGCTTTACTCGAGCTTTACTCAGGCTTTACTCAAGCTTTACTCAGGCTTTACACGAGCTTTACTCAGGCTTTACTCAGGCTCTACTCGAGCTTTACTCAGGCTTTACTCAAGCTTTACTCAGGCTTTACTCAGGCTCTACTCAGGCTTTACTCAGGCTTTACTCAGGCTCTACTCGAGCTTTACTCAAGCTTTACTCAGGCTTTACTCAGGCTTTAGTCAGGCTTTACTCAGGCTCTACTCAGGCTTTACTCAGGCTCTACTCAGGCTTTACTCAGGCTTTACTCAGGCTTTACTCAAGCTTTACTCAGGCTTTACTCAGGCTTTACTCAGGCTTTAGTCAGGCTTTACTCAGGCTCTACTCAGGCTTTACTCAGGCTTTACTCAGGCTCTACTCGAGCTTTACTCAAGCTTTACTCAGGCTTTACTCAGGCTTTAGCCTCGTACAGCTGATGTTTGACTGACGGGAAAGAGAGACTGACCAATAATCCCGTCTGAAAGCTGAACGCTTTAACAAACCTGCGTGAATCTGCCGTGTCATGATTTATAACCTCAACCTGTTATTTCAGCATCATTGATTTTGGTGTAATACGTTTTTATTTTTATATTTGAATTTCTGTTAAAGTTTTAAGAATTTTGTTGTGTTGTCATTTTTGTTTTTGTGGTACAACATGAACTAACAATGAAAGATTCTTCTAAACAAAGCATTTATATTCATCTTAGTTAATGGCAATTTCAACATTTACAAGTACATTAAAATACTGCTCGTTGTTGTTAGTTATTAACTAATGGAACCTTTTTTAATTTAAATAATATTTTTGTCCATATAGTTTTTTTTAGTACATCAAGTAAAATCAAATGAAATATTTAATTATATTTTATAATATATTTTATTATAATATTTGAAATAAGTAGTTTTATTTTATTCCAAGTAGCAAATTTTTTTATGTTTATAGTTTTATTTTTTAGTTAATGATAATGATCCTGTATGGAGCATATGTTGATCACTTAAATGAGGATGAAATTTTGTACAAACTTATTGCTGTAATTAAAATAAACTGGTTTTCTCTGTGCAGGACGATCCTCTTGGAAATCTCAGTCTGGCTTTAGAAATCGCGGAGAAACACTTGGACATCCCTAAAATGTTGGACCCAGAAGGTAAAGACGGACAGATCAGCTTCATATGCGTTACATCAGTATTACATACATTATTATACAACAATACTCTCCTGTTGAGCTCAGTAACAGATTTAGCAAACAGCTGTCTGTGGTGACAGGCTGTGTTTGACCTGCGTTTCGTCTTACTGTCATGAGAAGGTGACGGCCTTGAACAATCCATCCCAGAATGCAGTGCACAGATTCCCCTCTGATGGCTGTGTAATCAATGCAAATGGCCAATGCATTAAGCAAAAGTTGCTGTTTAATTCTGTTTATTTCATGATCACGTTTGTTGTTGTGTGTGTGTGTGTGTGTGTGTGTGTGTGCTCCAGACATCATTAACACCCCGAAGCCTGATGAGAGAGCCATCATGACCTACGTGTCCTGTTTCTATCATGCTTTCGCTGGTGCAGAACAGGTATTTCTGTACTTAATGTGAGCAAAACATATAGAATATCTGCTCATTATTAACTAAAAGCAGATGCATCATGGGTACTTTTTAAATGACCTGCTGTAAGTCGAGTCTGAATCTGTCATGTGACATTTGTGTGTTTAAAGGCAGAAACAGCGGCTAACAGGATCTGTAAAGTGCTTGGAGTGAATCAGGAAAATGAGAAACTGATGGAGGAATATGAACGACTGGCCAGTGAGGTACCACACACTCTCACACACACACACACACACACACACACACACACACACACACACACACACACACACACACACACACACACACACACACACACACACACACACACTCACTCACTCACTCACTCACTCACTCACTCACTCACTCACTCACTCACTCACTCACTCACTCACTCACTCACTCACTCACTCACTCACTCACTCACTCACTCACTCACTCACACAAACACACACACACACTCACTCACTCACTCACACAAACACACACACACACGCACACACACTCACAAACACACACACGCACACACACACACTCACTCACTCACTCACTCACTCTCACACACACACACACACACACACACACGCACAGACTCACTCACTCACTCACTCACTCACTCACAAACACACACTCTCACAAACACACACACACCCATACACACTAACACACACTCACTGAAGACTGGAGTAATGATGCTGAAAATTCAGCTTTGATCACAGGAATAAATTACACTTTACTATATATTCACATAGAAAACAGCTGATTTAAATTGGAACAATATCTCACAAATGTTACAGTTTTTACTGTATTTTTGATGCAGCCTTGGTGAGGAGAAGAGTCTTCTTTCAAAAAAATGTATATGAAATTAACCTGGCCCCAACTTCTGAATGTTCCAGTTGTTGGAGTGGATCGTGCGCACCACGCCGTGGCTCGAGAAGCGCAGCGCTGAGAACACACTCTCTGCCATGAGGTGCAAACTGGAGGATTACAGAGACTATCGGCGTTTGCACAAACCACCCAAAGTCCAGGAGAAATGCCAGCTGGAGATCAGCTTCAACACACTCCAGACCAAACTACACATCAGCAACAGACCCGCATTCATGCCCTCAGAGGGGAAGATGGTGTCTGTAA